ATATATATATATATATATATATATATATATATATATATATATATATATATATATATCCGGATAATTCGAGAAATACCCGGATGCCCAGGTAATACCTGAAAGCCTCAGATACGCGGTTACTATTCGAGATACGCGGGTACCCGGAATTGACACCGCGACAATGGACATGTCAGGTAGTCGACTATATTCCAACTTACCCGTACTACAGAAATCCGATAAAGTTGCACAATCATGAAATCCTTTAGTAATACATAAGCTTACATAAGAAAATCTACTTGTCCAAAGCTTTGTGCTGAGCTTAGCATAATAAAATAAGCAAGAAATTAAAATTATGTAAACGGAAATAAGTCATCTACGGCAGCAAGAATCTGTGTGTGGTACACTGACAGGAAAAATATCTAAAAAATTGTAAATATTTATTTGGTGAATACTAATAACACATTTACTTGAATCTACATTATTTTATTTAAATAGAATAAACAACTGTTTTCATGAAAAGTTATGATTTTCTTAGGTTTAGAGAAAATATTTTCTTATTTGTAATATATATATATATATATATATATATTAGTATAAATAAATATATTGTTTTTTAGTATTCATCAAATTTGCGTTACGCGACAGTAGAGACGCGTATTCATCATAAAATGTAAATCATACATAGTTATTCTTTCTCAACTTTTTTTTTATCTTCTCTTTTACAGGATGCTGGATAATTACGACAGGGGTGAGATGACACCACCACCACCAGTAAGCGGTTATGGCGGCTCCCCCGGCCTCTTGGCACTTCATTCCTCGCTTTACGCGACTCCCACATCGCGGGCCTACGACATCGACTCCAATATCGACGGCAACGACAGCTCGATGCCCATCGATACTCAAATCATCTCGGTACGTGCTCGATGCCCGGTTTCGGACGGCATGCAGGATACATCGCATCTCTTGAAATAGATCCGCGTGCCTCTCGCGAACGACGGGCGCGCTGTAAACACACCTACGTTCCTGCGTATATAAACGTGTCACCTCGAGCGAGTGCGCGAGAGTACGACGAACGCATGAAAATAAAGTCCAACCCGCCTCACGGAAAGAGAAAGAGAGGAAGAGAGAAAGTGAGAAAGCAAGACAATGGCGGCAGTAGAGAGATAGTGTCGAGAAGCCGCTGGGCGCCACGCGATCGACATTCATTAATCTCGCGTTTCGTCCTGCTAGTTAGTCACAATCGTATTCCTACGGCTCTTTATCGCACGCGCACACATCTATTGTTCACACCGAGCCGCCGCGACGTACGAAATTTCAATATCATTGCACTTCAATCGAGACGCGTTGTTGCTGCCGCCACCACTTTCCTTCCTCCGTATTGGCGAAACGATTTAAACATATTCTTCCCGATAAAACTAGAAGCGCATCAAATGACCACGATTGCCATAATGACGAGAACTCAAGTGATACGTATGAGACACCTTATTCATATCAGATAAGAGTGTAATAAAAAAACAATATTTGTAGAAATAAAATATCAAAAAAATATTTATTCGGTGTAGGTACTGATGACATATTTACTTAAATCTAAATTCTTCTGTTTAAATCAAATAAACAATTGCTTTCGTAAAATGTTAAGCTTTCAAAAAGATATATATTTTCTTACTTGGAAAATATGTTATATTAATTTATTAACTATCCGGCGTTGCTCCGATTTCTTAAATTATATATCACAAAGTATTACGTGGTTGAAATCAGGGGACAGGGGGTGAGGTTACTTTCTCTGATATTCTCTATGCTTAGTGTCGTAGAGGATAATTATGCGAAATCTAATTCAGATCGATCAAAAAGTTTAGAAGTTAACTACAGATATTCTTATATATATATGGGTGTATATATATATATATATATATATATATATATATATATAGAGAGAGAGAGAGAGAGAGAGAGAGAGAGAGAGATTAATATAAATATGTTACTAGCACCTACCGCGAATAAATATCTACTATAAGTATCTATTTCTTAGATATTTTTTCTTTCAATTTTACTGTCAATTTTTTATTACTATCGATGTTTTTCTCTCGGCATCTATTGTCGCCTGTAGTTCCTGTTAATAATCGATAATCACAAAAGCGCGAACGATAAACAATGGCTGGTAGTCGCGATAATTTGATGCGCTTCTGACTTCATCGGGAAAAACGGTTCAAGCACATTTTCCTGATAAAGTCAGAAGCGCGTTAAATAATCGCAATCGCGAGCCACTACTTACGGACTTGCGTAGTCGGTTTTGACAGGAGACGAAGTGACAAGTATAAATATTGCTTCTTTATTCTTGCTCTTATCGGACAGATAAGAATATAAAGATACTCGCGTTTTTCTTGAATGTCCCGTTACAATTGTGACGTCGGATGACTCATATATATTGTCACTTTGGCACTCGTCATAACGGTTTAGGCTCGCGATTGTGATGATTTGATGCGCTCCTCGGCTTCGTCGGAGAGGAAGCAACGTACTCGCAAACGAGTGTACGGGTAGAATCGACGTCGGAATTAATCGAAGACGCGCCGGCGATAATTTTCACGCGACTCGGAAGTAAGTGCGAATCGGCGTCTCGGCGATAAATAAGTCGCGCGATCCGCGGGAACGTTTCGTGAAACGCAATTTCCTGAAACCAGATACCGGGCATGCTGAGCGGTCCGGCGGCGCAGCAGCGGCTGGAGGACATGCCCTGGCTGGCTTCCGGGCCGTCCCTGGAATACCAGCAGGGCATCTCGCCGATTCCCGCGGGAGTGAAGATGTGCCATCCCGGCGGCAGCCAGGCTCAGAGGAGTCTCAAAGAGCAGCGGATACGTCGCCCGATGAACGCCTTCATGGTCTGGGCAAAGGTCGAGCGCAAGAAATTGGCCGACGAGAATCCCGATCTTCACAATGCCGATCTCAGCAAGATGCTCGGTAAGTGTGCATGAGACATCCCTTTCTTCCTTCCTGCCTGCCTACCTTCTTGTCTACCTCCGAAACGAACGAGATCCAACATTGCGAATTGCGAACGTAACTGCTGTACGCAGCTGAAAATTCGCGCGCATTTGTTGGTTAAAACGTTGACCGCCGTGTTAATCTCCATGTTGATTGCGCAAAAATTTCACTGACGACTGGGGTTACCAGAGATACGATAGATAAATGTTATTCAAGATGCATATATCTATCTTGCCTCGTTTCAACGGCTCTTTATATATACATCCACACGTACAAATATTTTTCTAAATTATTTCTTGTATAATGGAGGGAATTTTCTTTAGTAAAAATTACTGTAGAAATTTTTGTAGAAACCGAGGAGTATATCGACATTTTGCTTCAACTTCTTCGGTGATGATTCAAAATGATTGCGCCATTCTTGCTAAGGCGATTTTTTTTCTTTAATAATTATATCTAGACTTATTTTATTCGAATAAATATATGTAATGTGTGATGTGGATGTACTAAAAAATGAGAGAACCGTCTTAGCGTCCAAGTATCTAGATAGTAAATTGAGACTCATTAGAGCAAGCAATATGATTATGAAATTGGAAGTAAACACAATAAATAAAAAATAAATCTCCTTTGTTCGGACGTTAACTTATATTATAATGCGTATTCTCCAAGATCGAAACAAAGTTCTCACGAGAGACAATACTCCAAATGACCTTTAGAAACTTTCTCGCCAATGCGTGCCGATTGTCTTGGAAATCTCGATGCTTATCTCCTTATCTAGACTCGTTCCTTATCTACTAATAAGTCGCCAGGGAACAGCAGCTGTTTTCTTCTCAATACGGAGAACAAATTCTCATCAAGTTCGCGGAAAATTCTCTGTCGGATAAGTCCGTGGAAATCCGATTCGCGTTTCGCATTCGCTGATATATTCAATTCTTGCCGCGCATAAAAGTGGAGATATCGGGCGGTTTATTAGAAAACACGATCTATCTTCTGAAGCATGTATCGGGGTTATCTCTCGGCAACGAGCACTTTTCCATTCCCAAGTAGCTCAACGGAGATCAGGCTGCGTGATCGCAGCCGCCGACATCGCCGCGTCGTCTTTGGAAAATATATGTATATGGAAACAATGTCGTTTCCCGCGGGTTGCGCTAAGAGACGCGGAAAGAGAGGCCTTTTTCCGGCCGGGAAACCGACGTCGCCGCGGCACAGGGAGTAGCAGTACTCCGGCCGCACGGCTCTGGGAATAAGAAAGTCGGAAAAATCTCGCTCGCAGCGCGACGCAGCGCGTTATCATTAAATTAATTGCACCTTGGGACGAGCCGAATTAATTTAATTGCGCATCGCAGAGCCGGCAGCGTTGTTCGGACGGGGAGAGAAAGGCGGCGAGAGAGAGAAAGAGAGAGAGAGAGAGAGAGAGCTCTTTCGCTCGGCGATCGGAGGGAAACGGAAAAAAGTTACGTCGGCGACGTTAACTGTGTTATTTATCGGCCGCCGCCGTCGTCGTCGTCGTCGTCGTCGTCGTCAATGCAACTGCGAGACGGCACGCCGTGGCGAGTATAACTCCGCGGGACTCGTTCGTATCGCCAACCACCTGTACGATCGCGATAGGGAAATCGTTCTCTTATCGCGCCGTACGTCGTATGAGTCCTCTCTCGTCGTCGAATCCGCCTTTGATCGCTGCATTATCGCCGGCGGATTGTAGCAACGAACGCGTCTCTCTCTCTCTCTCTCTCTTTCCTCTCTTTCTCGTTCTTTCACGTTTTCTCTTTCGCTCCCACTGCAATCCGCCACTAAACTCAATCAAACATTTCCTCGGCGCGCGAGGCCGGTCTAAATTACACGCCCCGCACACACCTCGGTCAACAACGTAACATCGTGGGACGTTAATTCTGTTATTAAGTGGACGACTACCTGGATACACCGCCGACCCTCCGGAAGGGTTAAACGAGCACGATACAAACGGCAAGCATATACGTATCGCGTGAGATATATGGATCGTTAATTCGGCGAAAGCCAAAACGCTCTCTCAACGACGGTGGGCTCCTCAGTGTTTGTTCCTCTCTCTCTTTCTCTCTCTCTCTCTCTCTCTCTCTCTCTCTCGTCCATCGCGTGTCTCTCCCGCGTTAAAACCGAGAACCCATCATCCGGTACCTAACGATCTGTCAGCGCCGGCACGGCGTTCGCGCGCGAGCGCGTTATCGTGGGCAGGTATACCTTGAATTATCGGCAATTGGCATCCGCAACGTTATTGGCATTTGAACGATCGAGTGGCCGTCGTGCAGAAAATTGTAAACTCTCCTCCTCGTGTATACCCACCTACCTACCTACCTACCTTCCTACCTACCTACCTACCCGCGTCCATTCCAGCCGCTCCGTGTGTGCGTACGCGCGCGCGCGCGCGCGCATGTACATGGTTATGTGCGTGTGCGTGCGCACGTTCGCTCGCGCGTGTGCTACGTGCGTGCACACGTGCTCTCCCTCCCCCCTCTCGCCCTCTTTCTCGCTCGCTCTTTCTCTTCCAACAGTCTGTCGTCTCCTCCCCGCTCGCTCCCCTTCCCCCTTTCTCTCTCTTTCTCTCTCTCTCGCACCGACGAGCAAACCCGTAAATCACCAATGCCTCCCCTCCATCCCCCTGCCATTCTCTCCCCCGCACCAGTTATCGACGCGGAGTAAGGAAAACTCGTCGGGTTTATCGATCGGACATTAGGCGATCGGCGCGATGTTATTGGCATGACGCGGCTCCGATTACTATGCGCGCCGGGTCTTTTGCCGCCCCCACTTTTCCCTCTTCTTTTTTTCTTTCCAGACATCCTACATATTCATGCGCGTGCTATGTGTCGATCCGTCCGTCTGTCCGTCTGTCCATCCGTACGTATGTATGTTCTTACGTTCGTCGGTCCGTCCGTCCGTCCGTCTGTCCGTATGTACAACGTCCGTTAGCCCGTCCATCCGCGCGGCGCACACGTGTGCAGCGTACACGCACGCGTGCGAGGGTGTTCCACGTCGCGACTTATGTACGTACGCACGTATACACACACACACACACACACACACACGCACGTTCATATGCGGTGGCATACACACACGCGCGCGCGCGCACACGCATACACAGTCGGAGTACTCTGTGGTCGGTGTGGGGCAAACGACACACGACTATACGACGTATGCGTATGCCAATGGGGGCCGTGTGGGCACCTTATATCCGGTGACACACGTGCCCGCGCATCTTTATTAATCGTTCTCCAACCGTTAGCCCCGTCTTTGGGATGTCAACATTAGAAATTAATGCGTTCGCTCGAATTGATCGTCGTTGACGTCGTCAACATCGTCGTCGTCGTCGTTGTCAGCGGCGTCGTCGGGCGTGCCTCGTCTCGGCTGCCGTCATTAACCTTTGGAGTGTCGCCTTGCTTCCACACAGAACAAATTAGTATTCACTTAACACTAATACACTCAAATTAACGATCATTCTTTTATATATAAGCGAGCATATGTAATTTTGTCGGGAATTTTCAAGTCTTGAACTTCAATATACAATATAGTACAATATGATTATTTCGGTGACAATGATATTTATTCCATTTGAAAGCATCTAATTCTGAGGGCCGGTTTTTCAATGATAGTTTAAACTTAGATTTCAACTTAAATTCTGTTTAAACAAAACAAACACATTGTTAGAATAAAGTTTAAACTTGTTTGAATCCAAGTTTAAACTGCTATTGAAAAATCGGCTCTTAATCAAATATTTTGTGCTTCTAATTTATGAAAATTATTTTTGAGCAATAAGAATGTTTTCTCCGTTGAATATCATAAAATATATTGATGCAAGTAACTCATCTTACCGCTATGTAATCTCATTCTTTAAAATAAGAATATTCTTTTTTCCATGTAGTCCTATTAAAAGTATCGGAAGAATTGTAAAAATGACGAGTTTCTATATAAAAGAGAACACAAACGTATAATATAAGAATTATTATTTATTCACAGAGTATTCACATTCCTCTCATTTCAGAAAAAAATTCAAGATATCTTGCATAGCCTTTGAAAAGTAAACAAGAAAAACCTTTTACGTGATAAAGTGCAAAAACAATTATTTCTTTATGAGTTTTTTGAACATTATCTCCGTTTGATTGATATTCTCGAGCGATAGTGTGTCAAATTAGAACCGTAAATTAGAAAACATTTATGAAAATTCAGCACAGATTTGTCGGGCTTCTTCGTGTCGTGTCAACCATTACCTGTTTGAGAATATTGTTATGGAGCAACTGTCTCAGGAAGCACGCTATTGCGTGATATTTTTCGCTTGTCCTATGAGGAGCGCGAACGCGCTCCTCTGCATTCAGAGAGTTAATATCGCCGTTAATTAGCGGAGCCGCGACGGTCGCCGAACGTACGCCGGTGCGACTCGCACAAAGAGGGACGTGCATTATCCGCGGTGATCGGCTTTGTTGCTCTCGCCACGCGGAAAGGTGGAGGAGCCAAGAGCTGTACGGCGCGTCGCGCGTACAGAGCGTCGTTCATACGGTACGCCACTGCGCGGTGTCGCGGGACCACCTACGACAAATGTGGCAGCCCGCAAATAATACCAGGCGTGTTGTACCATCGGCGACAGCGTCAGAGATACAGGGCTCTAACTGCCAGCGCGGTATCGTGGTTTAGTGCCTCTGATTACTTCCCTTCTTCTCTCTCTCTCTCTCTCTCTCTCTCTCTCTCTCTCTCTCTCTCTCTCTCTCT